TAAAAAATAAAATTCTCTCTTCATAACACAAAGAGAACAATAAAAAAACACCATCAGATACTCAGATCAGTACTTAAAACACAACAGACAATATTTAAAAAAAAATATTGAATGGAACAAATAATCCATACTCTAAAAACAAAAAATATAAGAACATTGGTTTTTATAAGAATTTAATTACAGGAAATCAAGTTTAGGCCAATAAAAGCAAAAAACACTAAATGGTGCTTTCAAGCATGCACATACAAAGATATTTTAATCTATTGGTCTTCAATTCTTTCTCAGAATCAGAAGAAATATCTTCATCAAGTGAAGAGGAACCGCTTTCCACCACCTTCATCAAATGGCTTTGTTGCCCGCAACTTTCGCTTCTCTCTTAACTACAAATAGACCAAAAAAACAGTGAACTCGAGTAGTATCCCCTAATGACTCCGTAACCATTGCATCGCACAAATAACAAAAACCATGCCTGGAACTAAAATATATAAACAATATTACAAAATTATTGTTTTAAACAAACCAATAATACGACAAAATACATATAATAAAAAATTTCAAAAACAAAACAAGAATTAAAAACTATGGAAGATCAATTATAGACAAAAATAAGACGAAAAAAATATTTTTCTAAAAAAATTATACCTTTTTGCATTGACTTAGTCAGAGCAACTACAACTGGTCTAGAGTGGCATCAACCCGGAGAAATCAAAGATAGAAATAGCTATAAGAGAAATTGTACCTTTAATATTACATTGATAAATCGGTGATGAGAGAGTCACCTGCAAAGGAAAAGAGTGATGCAATGTAAAATGAAGACTTATAATTTTTTTAGGTATAAACTCATTGTATTTATAGGTGAAAAATATAATAATTGTAAAATTGTAAAATTTTTCAAAAGGAAAGTGTATTTATTTATTTAAGGTATTGCCATAATCAATTCATTATATTGATATTCATAATCAAGACATTATATTAATATTCCTAATTAATCTTATTCCTAATTAATTCATAATATTGATATTATTAAATTGCCTTTTAAGTATATATAATTAATTAAATTTGAATATTACACAAATGCCCTTAAGTTTTGGGGGAAAAATTTGAGAAGGAGGATTTTACTTTTATATATATATATATATATATAGAATAGATAGATATAGATGTTACCATAGTTATATTTAGTAAATTATCATTTCTATAATTCTTACCTCAATAATATTAAAATGAATTATACAATTATATATATATATATATATATATATATATATATATATATATATATATATATACACACACACACACACACACACACACACACTATTATTTTTAAAAAATTAATATAACTAAGATTTTAATATTTAATTTTAATATTGGGCATATATTTTTTACGCATCGCGTATATAAAATACTAGTTAGTAATATATGTATAGTAATTTATCTAATTATTAACTTAATTACCATATATAAAAACAACCTAATAAATGTATATTAATACTAATAATTATGAGTATAATTAGAATAATAATTATTAGTGTACTAATCTGACCATTATTAGCTTATTCTTTAATTAATTAACAAAATAATAATTCCTTAATTTTACTAAAATTTATTCAATTAATTCCTTAAATTCAGAAAATAGTAATAATTAATATGAATAATTATTAGCTTAATTAGAATAATAATTATTAATTTACTAATATGGCCGTTATTAAATTTACTACAATTAAGTCCTTAATTTTAGCGAAGTAATAGTTCTTTAATTATACTAAAATATATTTAATTAATTCTTTAATTTTGGAAAATAGTAATATCTTTATAATATAATGTATAATTATTAATTTATTAATATGAAGTCTGGACCATTATTACAATTAATTCCTTAATTTTTAATTTCTTAACAATGTTCAATCATACTTGTAATTACAATAAATTAATTGTATGAATATATGAACAGATACTACATTGTAATAGAGCTAGTAGCATTCAAAAAAAAAAAAATTGTATGAATATTTTTATTTGTTGAATTTATTAATTAATTGTATTGTATTAAATAATTTTATTTTATTTTAAATTTATATGCTAGACTTTATCATGAAATTTCTGAACCACTTCATCATCATCGTCCTCTGCAGCATTGGCATCAACTTGTGCGAAGATGAGATCATCACCCAAATTCAGATTTCTTGACCTCAAGCATAAGTACTTGAACCATTTCACTCCGACAGCGCAGCCGTCTCATTATCACCTCCATTGCGGAAGCGTGAGATGGTTGTTTGCATCACATCCAATCCTCTAGCTTGTACAGTTCAAAATAATTGAGTTCTTGTATGCTATGTGAAACCAATGATTGTTTAAAATAGAGCAAGATGGTATGATTGAACATTGTTAAATTTAACAAATATTCCAAACTCACAATCAATATGCTTCAAAAATGTGAAAACCAAAATTTTATCAAACTATAAGGCAAAAGTAGATCTTGTACGTCATCTATGGAGCATCAACAATGCCCATGGCCATGCTGGAGATCCCGATGTCAGGATGGACTTGCTTCAGCATGCACCTTGAAGAGGACTTCTATATATATAGACTCCGACGACTTCTTCACCATCTTCTTCTTCTTATCTCCGTCCACCGCAGTTCCACCCTCCTTCGAGAGCTTCTTCTCGGCCTTGGGCTTCTTCTCCACCCCACCTTTCTCTGTCGGAGCCTTCTCCGCCGCCACCTTCTTCCTACCTTGGATGCCATCTACAACACCAAGAAGACGATGATATATATATATATATATATATATATATATATATATATATATATATATATATATATATAGGGATGCACTCAGGTGCGAATAAGTGCTCAGGAGGGAAATGCGAACGAATCAGCGCGCGACACATGTCCAGATCTAATAACTTAAAAAAAAAACGCAGTGGCATTTTCGTAAATAATTGAACATCGAAGTGCAAGTAAAATCACTTACAAGTGCACTTACTTTCACCTATAAGTGCATGTAATTTTGCCTTGTTAGCATTCACATTCCGCAAACATTCATGCACCTGGGTGTGCTTATAACTATTGGTGCAATTATTTATAACTATTGGTGCAACTACTTATAACTATAGGTGCACCTACTTTCACCTATAAGTGCATGTAATTTTGCCTTGTTAGCATTCACGTTCCGCAAACATTCATGCACCTAGGTGTGCTTATAATTATTTGTGCAACTATTTATAACTATTGGTGCAACTACTTATAACTATAGGTGCACCTACTTTCACCTATAAGTGCATGTAATTTTTCCTTGTTAACATTCATTGATCTGAGTTCAGCGGGTAGTAATACCCCTGAAAACCACTCGCAAACATTCATACACCTATGTGCAACTACTTAGAACTATAGGTGCAACTACTTAGAACTATAGGTGCAACTAAGTATTGATGCTCAGTGTAAATTTTTACTTGCACCTATAATACATTTTACATGCACGTGTAATACATTTTACTTGCACTTCGATGTTCAATTATTTACGAAAATGCCACCGCGTTTTTTAAAAAAATCAGTGTTTCTCATCCATTAGATCTGGATACGTGGACGAACAGAATTCATTCCTATTTCGCGCATGGGCGAAGCATTCGCACCTGAGTGCGATTCTATATATATATATATATATATATATATATATATATATATATATATATATATATATCACAAATTGCAATTATTTTAGTAAAATTATATATGATTATCTAAGTAAAAATAATCGATTAGGGTAATAAATTTAATTAAAATATATATGGTTAGAATATATATATTAAAATCATTGATTTTATTAACTAACCAGTGGGATATCAACATTGTCAATTCTTTGAAAAATGGTCATATCGTTTTAGAGTTCATGTGTAGTTGTATTTCTGATCAATAACTTTGTAGTTAGGTCGCGCAAGTATGACAACGATGGAAGAACAATTTTATACGATAAAAAAAATAATAGTGTAATATTTGTAAAGTAATGTACATTGGACCATTACAGAAATACATACAAAAAATATTAATACCATAATGACCTAAATCATTCCAACAATGCAAAAACATAATTGGAATATTGATTCTTATTCAAAATATAATCAAAAGAAGATTAATTAAACGAAAAAAAAAAAACTTAACCTAAATTTATTATTTTTTTAAAAAAAATGCAAGAAAATGATTGTACGGTTCATGCTTTATAATCTTTGATGCTCAACTTTGAATGCAATTGTTACACAACACATTTATTTCATAATTATAAAACTCTATGTTCGTAATTATAGATCGAACTCTACGTTCATAACTCTATGTTCATAATTATAGAACTCTATGTTCATAATTTTTGAACTCTACATTCATAATTAATGACAGTTTTAGGACCGTTTCCACCTTGTTTTGGAACCGTGCAAGGTGGACACGGTTCCACAGCATAATTTTTACTTTGAATGTTATGTATTTAGTTGGGCTAATTATTTGGCGAAAGTTTATGTTAAATTTTATATTGTATTTTTTTAACATATGCGTAGTATATGTTTTAGAATTATGACAACTCTGATTGGGGTGAGGTTCGAAATTAAGACATTTCTTAAAAAAATTAATGTGTAAGTTAAGAATAATAAATAGTTAACGGAATATTTCGATACTAAAGTTTATTCTAACGGAGTTTATGGTTATTTAAGGGAAGAAAATAATATAATAGAGGGTAAATAAGGAAACTCATTAACAAAAAATACTAAAATCAAAATAATATGAACCATTCATTATAAACCATTCATTTTAAGAAACAATACTACCAACATTTTTTTGTTCTAGTTAGATTTGTAGATTAGATTTATTGCCTCTTATTAGATTTGTAGATTATATATATATAGGGTGAGGTTCAAGTGAGGCCAGGGTATTAGGTGAGGATTGTGGTCAAATTGCAGCCATCAGATTAGGCCAATTACGGCCCCGATTGCACAAGGAGCCAATTGATACGTACTGGAATTTTGGTAACTAAGTGTACTAGTAATTAATAGAAGGGGTAAAAGGGTAAAATTAAAATTGATTGTGCAATTAAATAAAGGAAAGAGCGAAACGTCGGGAAGGAACGCATAGGGTTAAAACGGTCGAAGTTCTGGGAAGCTGTCGGGATTGCACATTCACCAGAGACGAAACCGAGAGCTCAAGCGACGACTAGTTGAAGCGGTGGGAGAGAGTACACAACCGGGAGCTATGGCGGACGGAACCCCGAGAAGAAGTCAATGGCGAGCATCTGTTGAGGCAACGACCAAACTCCGTAAGCGAAACCTTGTATATGTTTCTGGATTTTTTTGGCACTAATTTGCATGCAAAATTGGAAAGATTTTTTGTGAAATTGCATGTTCGAATGGTCTATTTCTATGCAATTTTGGGTTTTTTTTTGGGATTAAAAAAATTGACCGACGGTGGGTGTGGATTAGGGGCGACTGGCTTCGACTTGGTTGGAGTGTCAGCGGTGGGTGAGGGCGGCGAGAACATTGTGTGGGGTACCTGGGATGTGCGAGTTATAATGAGTGGGTAGACACTTGGATTAATTGAGGGCAGATATGGCTACATTAAATCGTACAAAAACCTCAGTCGTTGAGAGTGTACGGTACCTGTAAGAGTGAGATCTAGTAGCCAGTGGCAGATAGTGTTTACCAGTATGGGGAATTTGCAGAAGGACTTGTTGTTACCAAAGAAAGTGGTCAAAAATTGGTCAAAACATTTGCCAAAAACTTTTTGAACAACATAAGGGAAAAATAAAGATTGCAGATGTGTATTGTGAGTAGGATGTGTGACACGTTGATTGGAAATTGGTGGTCTGGTGCAAGTGGACATGTTTGACCTGAACAGACAAGAGGATTAAATATTAAAATGAGTTCTGTGCGTTATGGGGTGTTGTATTTGTGCTGTATGATTGTGGAAGGGTTGACTAATGTGTGTTCTTTAAATTTAATTGGATATGTGCATCTGAAGTTTGTGTTTCAGTGTTGTTACACGTTCTGTTATTGTGCATACATGGTATATGTTTGTTGTTTGAGCATAACTGGCTGAAATGTGACTTACAATATGCAGCAAATTCCCTATTTGTGTTGTGTGATTGATGTATGGGTTAAGATCTGCAGTAATGAGTGGGTTTTGTGTGCATCAAATCTAAGTTTTGAGTCCAAAATAATATGATAAATCTATTTTGATTAAATTTAATATTGTGTTAAGAGTTCAAAAAACTAGTCGACAGTATGTGGAACTATACAGAGAAGGGTGTATATGTGCATTGACGTAGACTTTGATAATGTGGTTTAATTAGTGGTTTTTATGTACAACAAATATAAGTGATTGACCCATATTAAAATGAGTGACAAATTGTGCAAACATTTAATATTATTCTTGGGTAAAATAATAGTAGAATACACAATGTTAACATGTACCGAAGTGGGTTAATATGTCCATTAATGGGTTTTTGTGCTACATATGTTATCCCTCTGCGTGTCTATTGAACTTAACCAATTGGGCAGCAGTTAGATGTTTGATACTGAATTTCCCCTCTTTTTTAATGACCATTTGCAGCAAAGAATCGGACAACCAAGAAGCCACACGAGCGGAATGGGTGTGATTTAGCATAGGGGGTTTTGGAGCCATGTTGAAAAATGTGGAAACATATGTTTTTGGATATAAATTTATTTTTTGTTGTGCGGTCGGTTGATAGACTATTAAGCTACATATTTTGGTAATTATGCTTCTATATTATTTGACAGAATTACAAATTAGATTCTATGCAAGGCAATTGTTGATGATAATGAAGCGGGTTTTATGTTATGTATAGGTTTAAAAGTGCGCATGTTTCTATGCATTTGTGTTTTCAAGATTGTGCATTAGTAGACGTATTGTATGTTGGTGAAAGTGTGCATCAGGGGTTCATATTACAGTGCAACTATGCCTATTTATAAGATGCATTTCAAAATTTTGTGTGCAATACTGCGTGGCCAAAAATCTCCTTACCCCGGGCGTGTGTAGCTTTGTTTAAATTTTCTGTGCATCTATTTTTATTGGACAATTTTTTGGTATGCCAAACAATTTGTTTCCACTCTTTTCCTACATACTATCAACTGGGTTTATTTCCTTTAAGTAAAAAAAGCAAACATCATTTCAAAGTAGTATGTGTTATTAGTTTATTGAAGTGATGCATTTAAACGTTACTTACGAGATTTAGTAAAATGTGTGTATAATTTTATGAAATAATAATAGTCCAATTGTTTGTAGTAATTAATTAGTTGTCGTAATCTGTTTCCCCAAACACATTAAATGGAATGCACAACACATTTGAATCACAATACAGACAAATAAGATGAATATGTTTCCATAAACCAGTATGAAAAAAAGGACCAAATCCCAAAAACATAACTAAAAAACAAGTTCAAAACAACAATGTTGTATGGTGGAACGAAATGTAACAGAATTGTATCAACAACTAGCTGCTTAAAGCCTTCCCGAGAACAAACTAAGTAGTTTAAAACTACAACACCGTCCCTATTCTTCCACACCGTACTTCGACGTACATCAAACCCCACAACATACGCATACTGGTGATAAAAATGCAACACCATATTCAAACTTCTAAAAACATTGGCTTAAAAAAAATCTGATAGCATCATCACACGTTGTCAACCAATACTTTGTCCCGCCTAGAGAAACATTTATCACACAACCTCGAAGAGATTCTATCACACAACCTTGAAGAGATTCTGAATGCCCTACACACATAAACAATAAAAATAAATTAGATTCAACCACACTTCTCCAAAAATATGTTCCTGCGACCACAACTCACATAAAACAATAGTATGGATCACACAAAATCCCCAAGTATGCACATTTCTTCAAATAAAAAACGCACTTTTTACAAATTACCTAATGCACAAAAAACTCATGAATACAATTTGCCACTCCCCGTATTAAATCACATATCTTGTTTTCCGCCCAGTTAAAATGCACACGACAGTATAACCTCAGTGCACATACTACCACAACTTGTCCCGCCATACACATAAAAAAAAGGTGAAAAGCACGCCCACCTTACCTATTTATACCACCCGTCTCACACAGCCCCCACGACCAACAACATAAACTACTAAAATCACAACAAAAATGACAACATAACTGGACGCAACCGGAGTAACCAAAACTGTAATAAATAAAATGCACAAACACAATCAACAATGACACACACAATAGCATGTCCAAAAAAAAACACCTTAAGCCAGTAGCCCGATCCCATGATAGCTAAACCCAACAAAACGAACAAACACAACCCAACCAACAACACATTAGACATCGTACCCACACCCAACACACAGAATGCACACGAACAAACGCAATCTCTGGCCTTAACACATTGTTGTTTATTAAGAATGTTTGACCTATGAACTACTGAGAGCAATTTGTAACCAGTTATTAAGAAAACAAGAACAACAACCACCCTTTTTCGGTTTCTCTAAACGGAAAAAGAAAAACTACAAGAACAAACGACAACGAATAAGGAGAAGGACAAAGAATACATACCTGGCAACGCCATTACAAAGACCGAAACCCCCCAAAAAACACAAAGAAGGGTGTTGTTGTGTTGAGAAACCCAGTCGCCGCAGCCAAAAGTTCAGTCGGCAATACTAACATTAAGCAGAACGAACATACATAACAAAAGGATCGGTGGAGTGTGATGGTGAAAATCCAACCTTAATTAATATTCCTAAAAGCAAGCATATAATCCCAAAATAATTCAAATCATGAATGGAAAATAAAAACAAATGACTAAAAAGCCCCAAACCTCCAAACGTGTGATTTATTTACAAATAAAAAAAGAACAAATCTCAACCACATATCAACCAAAATCAATGTCCAAGATTAATCCACATTCCTCATGTGGAAAAGTAACCTCATTTGATCCTCAATATATATATATATATATATATATATATATATATATATATATATATATATATATATATATATATATATACAGAAGAGCGCTCATATGTGGTCATGTCATTAAGTGTGGCGGTATGGTCGTATCTGTGTCATTGAATCAGTTTAATCTAACGGTAGTGGCTAATTATGAAGATTTGAGGATTTTCGCGCGTGGGGGTGTCATGGTAATTACAGTGGCCATATATAGTGGCCGGGTTCCAGAATACACCAACAGTGTTGACAACATGCACCAATACTGTAATAAAACACACCACTGTGAAATACACCAATAGTGTATTCCCGAACACTGTATGATGTATTTATTCATATCTAATGACGCGTTTTTGGTGATGCGTTGACGTACCTAATTTGTGTATGTTTTTTGTTGTGCATTTCATAACATGGATTGTGTATATTTGTATAACAATTGGTGCAGCCGCACTGACCACACGGGAAGGCATTGCCGCACCTGAACTTGACACCAATGAGAATCTACAAATACACCAGAGTAAGACTAATAATGCACCAATTACACAAATAAAACACACAACAATGTGATTTTCCCTATTCCGATGCCTTATGACAAGTTTACCCTTGCAGTTCGCTGGGTAGGAGAAAGTGCACGAAAATACTGGAAAACTCTTGATTAATGTGATTCATTGGATCTATCTAATCTAATGGCCTGTAATTGACCATATGGCCACACCTAACAACATGGCCACATGTGATCACCCCTCTCTCTCTCTCTCTCTCTCTCTCTCTCTCTCTCTATATATATATATATATATATATATATATATATATATATATATATATATATATATATATATATATATATATATATATAGCAATACTACAATGCATCTACTCCCATTTTATACTCTATAATGAATTGTCATATAATAATTGATTAATTAATAATAAAAGGGCCAAACACCTTGTGCTCAGATGACACCCGGGTTGGATATCTATATGGGAGGTTGTGAGTTAGAGACTCAGTGGAAGCGTTATTAGCTCTTGGTGCTTTAGTAGGTTGAGAAAGTAGCTTTGAACAGATACTACATTGTAACAAAGTCAGTAGCATTCAAAAGAAGAACCGAAATCGATTCAATTTTGCATTATATATATAGCCGTTTTGTGCGATTACGTTTTATTTTTTTTTTGTCCCTTTGGCTTAGCATAGTTGGTTCGTTCCAAGTTATGACGGGAGGCAACAATATGGCCGGGTTCGAAACACACATGGAAACATGTATGGGAAAAAGACCGAAGAATGAAGACCCAAGAATGATGGAAGGTCTAAAGACTAGAATCAAGTGCATGAAGATCGCTCGTGATTTATCTCCGCAATAGCTCTAGGGACAAGGATTGATCCGACAAAACTGAGATCACCTATATTTTTAAAAATAAAATAAAATAAAAAAGGAGTACTATTTCTATTTATTTATTTTAATTTCTTTATCCAATAAAATATGTATACATAGAGAGAGTTATACTTCTTAGAGTATGTCTAACATTTTCCATATATATATATATATATATATATATATATATATATATATACAAACTACACATATATTTCACAAGTTGGAGGATCCCCCATTCTCCCCCTATTCTCCCCCTATTCATGGGAAGTGGAGCCCATCTTAAGAGCTTCTAACACTCGGGTGTTTGGGTGCGGTCTCTATTGGGGTTCTGACAATAATCATATGCTTTATGATTCTTCTGCACCCATGCCATGGCCGCAATTTGCTGGTTGCTTAGCCCGGTTGAACCCTTTGGGGAGCCGGGTATCGGCCGGCACACGGCTGAAGCGTTGGCCGCGCAACCACTAACCTTGAAATCCTTGTACTTCCCAATAAAGGGTTGGTATTTATAATCAGCCTTGTACTTCCCGTTCTCCGTCGCCCACGACGACCCATCCCAAATCGATCCGTACACATACATTTCCCTTTGTGGAAATGTTGCTTCGCTCATCCTCGGATAGTGTCGAATTGGCACGTCGTCCACGAAAAATCTGACCGGACAGCAAAAACATTATTTTATTCTGGATATATTTCATGAACTAAATGTGTTGTAAAGAGAAAAAGATTATTGGTGGCATACATTTTTTCAACATATTTCATGAACTATACCTGTTGTAATAAAGAGGAAGAGGGAGAGATTACATACTTCATGAACTAAACGTGCTGTAATGAAGAAAAGATTACCGACATATATTTCCTAGACATATTTCATGAACTAAATTAAACGTGTTGTAAAGAAGATAAGATTACTGACATGATCTCTGAAGGATTCCAGAGGATAGCATAATGGTGAAAATCTTTGGTGGGGTCGAACCAAAGTTTAAATCCGACTTCACGTCCGATAGTGTGTCCGCCATCTCCGCTTCCTTTCATGTATATATTAGTGTGCAAGGTGTATGGCTTACCCGGCGTCGTTCCCAGGAACTCAATGTCTATTTCGTCATGGTCTTTGGGATGCTGTTCTGTGTTCGAAAGCTGATCATATCCGCCCACCATGCATGCATATGTGCATCATATATCATATATCATATATCATGTATGTATTGCAATAACAAAATGCATGCATGTATGTATATATATACGTACATAGAGACATGTAACGACTCCAGCAGTATAACCAGGTTGGAGCTTCATGGAGGCACCAATATAAACAGAGCCATATGATTTGAGAGATTTAAAGCCACTCCCTGAATTATTTATATTGTAAAAAAAAAAAAAAGGATTATTATCATTATATACAAGTTTTTATAATAATACAAAATGTCATTGTTTCCCGTGCACACCCTAATTTCCATCTTAACTACTATACTTGAGTAGTCGAAAATCTTGAATTTTCTAATGTGTATGTGAGCGTGTGCTGTTATATATATATATATATATATATATATATATATATATATATATATTGACATTACTTAACAGCGTTACACAAAAGACATGCATCAATGCAAACTTAACTTAAATGGATTAGTCTCATCTCGTGAGAGTAAATAACAGTGCGATATGTAAAGAGAAGAGTAACATAAGATCATATAGTGGTTTGGGCAAAACTTGAATGGATTAGCCTCATCTCATGAGCGTAGATAACAGTGATATGTAAAAAGAAGAGTACAATAATGTAATAAGATTGGAAAAATTAAAACTTCAATATATTAATCTTATCTCGTGAATATGTAGATGGTGATCGATAACTGTGTCATAGGTAAACAAAAGAATATAATAACATAATACTAGTTGAGACTTGACTGAATTAGTCTTACCCTGGAGATACGAATACCAGTACAATATGCAAAAAAGAAGAGTAACATATATAAAACCGACCTCCATGAGCTTTCTCAAGCAAGATTGACAATGTTCCTTTGTCGAGAGATTGATGCTCAGGACCCCAGAGGTTCTTAAAACCCTGGTTGAATCCTAGGGAACCAGCCTTGGTGCTGGGGTAGTAGCCAGGTGAAGGTGGAGCTTGAGCATTATTGCTTGAAGTGAACAAGAAAATGATGGCAAGAGAAAGAAGAAGTTGATGATGATGATGATGATGAAGAGCCATATATGTTGAATAATGGTGGAAATTGAAAAGATGGAGAGCAGTGTACATGCAGTATAGTAGTGGATGGTTATGATGATCAGGGCAAAAGAACAAAGGGTGTATAAATAAGAAGATTTGAAGGTCCCCATGGAGAAATGAATTGATCCATCGACAAAGACGTTGACGGGCGTTGGATATAAGACCAAACTAACCAAGAAACGGTTTGAAATCAATTCTTGTTTGTGGCAAATTATGCTGTGGAACCGTGTCCACCTTGCAATGTGGACACGGTTTCAAAATTGTTCATAATTATAGATATATAGTTTAAAAATTATGAACATATAATTCTATAATTATCAATATAGAATTGATTGTGAACATAATTATGAACATATAGTTCTGTAATTATGAATATAAAGATTCAATAAATGTGAATATAAAGTTCAAAAATTATGAATATATAGCTTTATAATTATGAACATATAGTTCAGTAATTATGAATATAGAGTTCTATAATTGTGAATATAGAGTTCTATAATTCTGAATATGAAGTTCAAAAATTATGAATATATATCTTTATAATTATGAACATATAATTCAGTAATTATGAACATAGAACTGTGTTCACCTTGCAAGGTGGACACGGTTCCATAGCATAACGATTGCTCTTTTGTGGGGCTTTACTTTGTTCTCTGTGAAAACTTATTACATGAACCATGGTCCACACAACAGCTGTGTATACCATAAATAAAAAGTATATTTTTAATATATTAAAAGTACATTATTTGTATATGTAAAGTATACTATTTGAAAGTACATTTTTGAGTACTGAAAATACATTATTTTATATATTATCAAATAATGTACATTCAGTACACAAATAATGTAGTTTTAGTATATTAAAATTTTACTTTATATTAATAGTCTATACAACTATGTGGATCATGGTCCACACAATAATTGTTCGAAAACTTTAGATACGTTTTATATTTGATTTTGTAGTTAAAATTTTGACTTCGAAATTTATAAATGAAGTACTAATAGAGTAATATAATAGAGATTATAAGAAAGATTCTTTAAGTTATGGATTCATAATAACTTAAATTGACTCTATATTAATCATTCAATGTAACTAGGGAATACTGCAAATCCTCTCATCCTATCCTATATATAATAAAGCCATATGGTCTTGTGAAAATTAAATAGTGATAATCAAAATTTAATTTTCACAAGACCATAATAATATTGTTAATTATAATAACAATAACAATAATAATAATAATTGCAATAATAATAATGATACCATATGGTCTTGTGAAAATTAAATAGTGATAATCAAAATTTAATTTTCACAAGACCATAATAATATTATTAATTATAATAACAATAACAATAATAATAATAATAATTGCAATAATAATAATAATGATAATTATTATCATTATTATTATTATTATTGCAATTATTATTATTATTGTTATTGTTATTATAATTAACAATATTATTATAATATATATATATATATATATATATATATATATATATATATATATATATATTTATTTATTTATTTATTTATTGTGTGAACGATGGTCCACATAATTGTATGGATCATGAATATCAAATACATTTTTAATATATTAAAAATACATTATTTTTATATTAAAAGTACCTTACATACATATATAATGTACCCTTAGTATATTTAAAATATACTTTTTATTGCATGCAACCCCAAAGTTCATAAGTTTGAAATTAATATATGGCATAGCTAGGCGGCCTAATATTTAAGATTGTTGATGTGTATATTGAGGACTACGGAGACAAAGACGCGTTATTCGTGGATTCATCGGATACTATCCAACAACACTATCCAACTTAATTGACGTGAAGTAGGCTTAGTAACATTAAGATTATATTCTCGAATTATTAGTTCTCATCTTTTATTGATTACACACTTAATTCGATAGTATTTGGAAGAAAAAATCAGTGTTCGAATTAAGATTGTGATTTTGGTCTTTAAAGGTCAATTGTATGTTGCTACATCTAGAGTTAGAAATATCAAAGGTCTAAAAATTTTAATCCGTGGTGACTCTAAAATTGTAATTCAATTACTATTGTAGTTTACTGAGTTCTTAAAAATTTGTAATATTAAATACTATGTACTAAATTTGTAATATAATTTAAGATTTGAATCACCCACCTTAAATATTATTTTAATTATAAATATATTTATGTTCATAATTTTATCATAGGAATTCACACATAATAATTATTAATAACAAAAATTTTATATATGAATAAACTTCATATAGGGTATATTTTTATAACATATTTTCCATGCATCGCACGGGACAAATACTAGTAGTAATATAATACTACCAAAAGAATAGTTGCTCAATAATTATTTGGGATTATTGAGTTCTATTCTATTTGGAAAATGCAATTTTTCCTTCTTTATTTTCATCTCCAAACTTTCCCATGTGACTTTCATTTATTAGGTGTGAATTGATTTTTTTTTTTTTTGGTATAGTTAGGTGTGAATTGATTGACTCCACCACTAATTACAAAATAAATTTAGTTATCAATAATAAAATAATACCACATCAAATAAAGAAATTTGTAGATCAGAGAAAAGACTAAAAGGATTTATAGTGGCAAAGGCCTTGTGGTCGAGTAGTATAGCTGTGACTCATCAAATAAGAGGTCTCATGTATACATCATTATAATTGCATATTTTATTTTATTTTTGTTTTCTTAACCGCTAAACTGGGCCTAACTTGTTTGGTAAAAAAAAAAAAAAAACAACAAAAACTTTAGACAAGTCATTGTGAAGTGGACAAATTATGCCCTGGAAACGTGTTCACCATGAATGGTGAATACGGATTCAAACGGTGCCGTTTTTACGGAAAAAAATTCGCTAATGTGGTGTTAACGGCGCGCGTTTGATCAGATTATGAATTTTCTGTTATGAGATTATGAATGTACTGTAAATTCATAATCTCATAACAGAAAATTCATAATCGCATAAAAGAAAAACATTTATTAAATTATGAATTTTCTGTTATGAGATTATGAATTTACTGTAAATTCATAATCTCATAACAGAAAATTCATAATCTCATAATAGAAAATTCATAATCTCATAAAAGAAAATTCAAAATTTCATAACTGCACATTCATAAATTCATGCAATTATGAATGTGCAGGCATGAATTTATGAATGTGCACTTATGAAATTATGAATTTTCTTTTTATGAGATTATGTTGAAGAAGCTTGCGCGAAGAGGAAGTGAAACCGCAAAATGTGAAAATGAAGAAGAAAAGTCACACGATTAATTAAGGAAAAAAAAGAATAACGGTGCATTGTTACCGTTGAGACCGTGTTTACCATGAATGGTGAACACGGTTCCATGACATAACGATCCCGTGAAGTGTGATTCGGCGGCCATGGTCATTGGGTGGCTTTTGGGAGGTATATATGATGCCACGAAGTCGTATTATGAATTTATGGGAGGCATGCAAATTAAATGTACTATGATACAGTATTATATCATCAAAATGACGCTATTATTTTAGCTTCTATACAAGTATAAAGAAATAGATTAAAATTGTGTTTTTGTAACTAGTTATAGCTTTTTGACGTAGTAATAAGTGTTTGATTTGACAATTAGTATTAGAGTAGATTATGAATTTGCAAGTGTTAGAAGGGAGATTGTTGGGTGAAAGGAGATTGGAAAGACCAAATCTAGCATCCTGTTATATATCAAAAACAAACTTTGACTTCCATGTAAATATGAAAAATAAAAATAAAATTGTATCTATAATTTTTAGTGCAGTGATAAGGGTAAACTAATGCATGTGAATAGAAAATAAGAAAAAGTGATGAGGGTTAGATGAGCCTAGCTTCCTTCTCCCTTTACCAAATGTTAATGGAAGATAGAATTGGGCTCCTGCAACAAAAACATATTAGATATAAATGTAGTCTAACGATTAATTGAATATATATAAAGTTTACCAGAAACATGACCTCGTAGCTAAAGCAGAAGTGGTGTTAGAGATTACAAATACACCGGTCGCTACGGTATACCTGCAAAGTAACGTTAGTCATTTTATCTTACTTGTCTCAGAATTTTAGAGGATATATTGGTATTATTCTAAGCAATACCGGGGCACAAAGTTTGATTAGATAACGACTTATAGTTATTCAGCCAAACCAAATTACATAATTAATAAGTCTAGTCAACTTGCACCACTAAATTAAGACCTTTATTAATATATATATATATATATATATATATATATATATATAATACGAGAAAATCAACAAGACATACATGCGATGCATAATTAGTTGGGTGTTTTGTTTTGAGTTAGGCTCCTTCTCCCCCGTTTACCAAATTTTAACAGAAGATAGAATGTGACTCCCACAACCAAGACATGCATGTGATGCATAATTAGGTGTTATTTTCTATTTAAAAAAAAAAAAGAGTATAAATCAAGTCAAAATTTTAAGACAAGCGGATGAAAATTAATATAAAGAAAAAAAATTATAATTTGTCCCTCTATAATATGCCAATTATCAATATCACTCTTAAATTATTATTGGTGTAAATTTTGCCCCTCAATTTTCAAACGGTACATATATTGCTCCTCTCGTACCGTATGAGAACAAAATTGAAGGGTAACATTTGTAGGATATCCGTTGGTGAAATCAAATAATAATCCAATAAAAATAAGATTATTATTTTTTCTGGAAAAATTAGGGAAGGAAAGATGGAGAATTTGGCTAGTGTTTGGTGTTGGGTTTTTAGCAAGAGTCAAGCGATCACTTTTTTCCTTAAAACATTATTTGCCACCTCCCAAAAGTGCTAGGAGCTTCGTGGCCTAGGCTTCCCAGGATAAAACTTGCTTTTGATTCAATGTTTGAGCACCCAAACAAGGAATCCGGCGAACAAAGCAATGTTATGAACACAGTATAGCTAAGAAAGAGTAGAAGCAGAGAGTTTTGAGGCAAAAAGTGATACTTTGTTGTTGTGTATAAATCTATACGCCCAACTCCTTCTTATATAGGGGTTGAGGAGTTGAATAGCTTTTAATTTAGGCATTTA